TCACCTCCCGACTAAAGCCCTTCTTCCACAGATGGCTCAGTTTAAACAGCTTGCCCACCCTAGGAAGAGTCCTGAAATTCTTCCTCGTTCTGATGAGGTCATTTGGACCTTCAAAGCAGCACAGGGTTTCCTGTAACTTTCCCCAGATTTCTGCCTCTATACAATCCTGTTTACATTTCCTTTGACTTCATGCTTGGTTTGTGCTCTGACATGCTCTGTCAGCTGTGGGACCTTACATAGTGTGTTTTTCCAAATCATGTCCAATCAGGTGAATTTACCACAAGTGGACTCCTTTTAAGCTGCAGATGCATCTCAAGCAGGAAACATGAAACAGCAGAACTCAGTTATTAGCTTCATAGCAGAAGGTAGTGTTTGTGTGCGTGTAATTTCTCAGGATTTTCATTTTTGATAAATTAGCAAAATTCTAACAAAATAAATGAATAAATAAATAAATGTTTCTCATGTTTTAATTCAGGGGTGTTGTATGTAAATTTAAGACAAACAATTGTCAACCTTTTTGGAATAAGGCTGTAACATAAAATGAATTGAATGTGAGTTAAATACTTTCCGGATGCACTTCGATGAAGCTTACTGAAACAGCACCACAGCAAATGTCATCTGTGATCAAATATAAAGCTGGTCCAACAAATCACTGGCATGTGTGAACCTTTTTTTTAATTTATTTTTTTTGGCTGGGCAGCTTATTCAAAAGCCCTAAAAGAGTCCAAAATAGCTTTTATTCCCTTTTCCTGGAAATCGAATTATTGAATGTGGCATGCAGCCTCTGATTGCGATTTTAACCACTCTGCGACATTTTTCTTTAATTTCTCACATAACTGTTCTTATTCGCTGCGTGTGCACGATGATCACATTAGCATCAATCCATCTTGTGCTTCATTTAACACAGACACAAGCTCTTAGTTTGGAGTTGTCACGCAGGCTATCAGATCACAGTTTAACCTCATTAGCTCAGCAGAGCTCTCACAGTGACAAAGCTGCTGACTGCATGGTGGGGTCAAAGGTCAGCAACCGCTACAACCGAACACACTAGCAGGTTTGAGTTTTGTTTTTGTTTTTTTTTCCCAAGATTCAGGGTTGACAAGAGTCTGAAGGCCTTTCATTTTTAATTTTTTTATTTTTTGTGGAAAGAATAAGTGTGTTTGGTCTATCATCATCAACATCTACTTTAGTAAAGACACACCGGTCCATAGTACAGGTGAGAAAGATTAAATGGCTTTAAAACATTTTAAAATTTATAATAAAATCTACAATATCTCGGGGTCTTGTTCATGAGTGGGGGAAAGACGGAGCGTAAGATCGACAGGCAGATATGAGCTGCCTCTGCAGTGACGATGCAGACTGCTGGGTTCCTTCTATAGGAAACTTTTTACTGATTGGCTTAATGACCTGACTTGTATTGGAATGCTTACTATGTGAAGTACCTTGAGACGACTCTTGTCGTGATTTGGCGCTTTATAAATAAACTTTAATTGAATTGAATTGATGCAGGCATTGTACCAATCTGTCGTGGTGAAGAGAGAGAGAAGGCGAAGCTCTCAATTTACTGGTCGATCTACGTTCCTTCCCTCAAACTTTGGGTAGTGACTGCAAGGATGAGATCACAGTTATAAGTGGCTAAAATGAGTTTTCTCCACAGGGTGGCTGGGCTCTCCCTTAGATCATCTGGGAGGGGCTTGGGGTAGACCCGCTGCTCCTCCACATCTTGAGGAGCCAGTTGAGGTGGCTCGGGCATCTAGTTAGGATTAGGATTGCAGCTATTATAAATTTTGGTGGTATGATTATAGTCTGAGAAATAATTACAGTTTCATGATTACTACGATTGTTTTACATAATTTTTTACTCATCTGTATTAACATAGATAAATCATACACATACATTCTATAAAGGTATTGAACCTGAGAAGATATCTATCGCTCCTTTTCAGAGATTGTGCTTAGAAAATTTCACTTGTAAATAATCTCAGTCATTTTTAAACTAAAACTTTTAAAATACCCTTAAAGGTGTTGAGTCCTTGTTTAATCAATGCATTTGCCGTTGTCTCTAGTAAGAATGAATGCCTTGTAAGCCATACTCTTGGGAAATAAAACACCAGTGCACCATATTCAGGACTTAGATGTGTAAGCCACATCAGAGCTGAGCTTCAGACGGAAGGATTGGGAGTCTTATTTCCTTATATTTGGACGTCTCACCTTGGATTAGATAACAGCAACATGACTCCGCCATTAACTTGCAACATTGATGTTTTATCTCCACAAATAACACAAGCTAGGAGGACCTTCTGCTGTGTGATGGAGTTGCTAATACTAACGGTTCGCTTCTACTAGCCGAGACATTCTCTGCTGTTTTCTGGATGCTAAACCAACAGCCTTCCCTGTCATGAGTCAATATGGGAGAGTCTATGAATGTTAAGTGACAGTGTGATGTAGACTGGTCAAGCTTTTCTCACCCTAGAGTGTCACCGTCTATTGTCCATCAGAAGCTAATGCAGAAGATGGGTGTAGGAGACTATTTTCATGTTCAGCCTGCATGAAACACTCAGAGTGACTCATTATAATCAGAGATAATCACTCAAAAATGATGTTTCAGTGATTCACACTTTTAAATGAATTTGCCTAATAGCGTGTTTAGAGTTTCTGTAAAAAGGCAAAAAGGCTTAACTGTTGACAGCTGGTCAGGGTTAGCACTGAAGGAAGGAGATGCCTAAACGAAATGAGATGCTAAATTCCTACTATTTGTAATTACGAATATCCTTTATACAAGGCTTGGGCAGTATCCACATTTTAAAACAGTCTTGCTTCTTGCTTCCTCCACATGTTGCCAAGGTGTACGGTATTACCGGGACTAATTTAAAAATGATGACGTAAGTCTGAAGTGGAATTACCAAAAGGTGAGTTTGGACCTCACTGTTCAGAAACTGAAAAGCAAACACTATTACTAAAACAATAACATAACACACACAATAATAAGTTTTAAAAAACACAGCTTATAAAACTATTTTATGTTTATTTAATGTTTACCCTTACCGGCTTCATCCTCTGAATGCTGAAAGCTGCTTCGATGAGCTTGTTGCAGACACCCGGTTACTTTGGGGCTAGTCACGACATCCGGAGAAGGCTGGCAGCTTACTTCTCACCAGAAAAGTTTGTTGTTGTCTCTAAGCTATGCCATTTCAGCTATGGCTCTCTCCTCTGCTGTTCCGATGGGGCGTGTATCTTTCGCGGTTGTCCTTTGTTTGCACAAATGAACAATTAACAGTGTTTACGGACTCTCCTTTTAGGTGTACCTTGAACCGGAAATGCTCTCAAACTGCTGAAGTTGTTCTTTTTAGACACCAAGTCAGCTGGTGCGCGGGCTGCCATTTTTCTCTCAGTGTGTCTCTGCGCTGTTGCGTGATGACATCACATTCATAGACTTTATGGAAAGTCTCTAAAAGTTGGACAAAACATTTTAAACTAAGTAAAACTGAAAGTTCAACCATGTTTCTGTTTTATACATTAACCCTTTCGCTGCCAGCCGTTTCCTGATCAGTGAAGCCCTTCGCTGCCAGCGTTTCTCACCGTTTTTACTGTTTTTTTAAGAGTCACAGAACGTTGTGCACTAGGATGATGTCGACGCCAAAACAACCAAAACAAAGTGGAGACTCACCTCTTACATCAGCAAGAATCCGCGTGTTTCGAGTGTTATCCGTTCTTTCATAATCCGTTGTTGAATTGTGATCGGCAGACGCTTTTCCGGTTTGCGCCTCACTTTTTTTACAGCAGCGGCCCAAAATGACCTCCTACCGCATGGATTTTCTGCTTCTTGATCATGTGACATGTGACTGCATACGAAGATCAGCTTTAGAGCTGAGATGTTTGTTCTCACAGTGCGGGGGCTCGTTCCCACGCCCACACAGTAAAAAAAATGCAGTTGACGACTTTAGCTGTCATTGGCAGTGAACGGTTGGATTTAAAATGACGACTTTAGTTGTCATTGGCAGTGAACAGTTGGATTTAAAATGGCTACTTTAGTCGTCAGTGGCAGTGAATAAGTAAATTGACTTTTATTTGTCTTTTTTTTATTATCTTTTCTCCTACATATACTGATTTTTCATGACCGCATTGGAACTGTCATCGTTGCTATTTTTAACACTGGCTGTACATGGTAATACTGTAATACCGCCCAAGCCTACTTTCTACTTGTTCTTATCTTTCTTTTCGAATTCCATCAGTGAGAATGTTATTTGGACACTCAGAAATTCATTGCAATGTAGAACACAAATCACCACAACTGTTGTTGATTAAATGTTAAAATGGCTTGTCAAACTGGTTTGTTGTAGACAGGGAATCGTAGAACATCACAACTAAATGAACCCTCGTTCACTGATAGTTCTAATATTACTGTTAAATCCCTTCAATCAATAATTTTGTTGCTAACTGAAAGCACAACTGAATCAAAACTCAGAAATTCAAACACAGATGAGGTTCTACAGTTACCGCTGATGCTGAGGAAGAAGGAATCACTTTAGGGAGGGTGCTAACGATTTTGTTTCTAATAGAAGTATCTGTATTTGTGAAAAATCCAATAATTGCTGCTGAAGGCTAAGGGAATAGATGGTTCAGAACTATGATTCTGTGTAAGTTTGGCAACTGTACTGAAAAGAAATTTAGGATTTTTCTTATTCTCCTCAATTAGCAATGAAAACCATGTAGTTCTAGCTTGTCAGAGCTTTTTTTTCTATAAAGCACAAGACTATTTATCCAGGATACATAGAACTCCTGGTGAGCTGAAGTGTGTTTTAGGAACGGTTCTACACAAAGTTTTATTAATGAGGTCCCTGGTCTTTACTGAAGTGATGGTTGACAGAAAATACAAAAATATTTAAGAACGAGCTGCTGCCATTTTTCTTGTTTTTGTTTGTGTCTTTTGATGGATGGACATTTTGGACGTGTCTCCCTGTTGGTGATGATGTGTTTTTTCTTCTATAACTTCCTGTTCAGGTTTGAAAGGCTGGAAGTTTTGGCTGTTTTTGCTTCCACTGTTCTCATCCAGCTGGGTGCGTTGTTCATCCTGAAGGAAAGGTAAAGCATCTTTGATCACATTCTATCAGTGAATTAGTAAAACACACCTGTTAATGGCTTTCTTGGTTGAACAATCTGTATTTACTGTTAAAACTGTCTCTTTGTTGCTGTCTTTGTTTTCTGTCTCCATCTCATTCTTTGTCTCACTCCTGCCTCATTCGATTAAAATTTCAATTATTTTTTTGTCCAGACTTGGCACTTCATAGGAAAAATGTTCCCTTTTGTTATTAATTGTATTACTTAGCTTTGATCCATGCAGGGTTCATGTTTTTATCCAGTGTCAGCTGCACTTTGCTTGAAATAAAAAAATAACTATCTCGGTTTCACCCATTTAGAAGTAACGGGTCTGTTTAGAGGTACTTGTGTTGCTGATCTTTTTTATTTTATTTACACACAGTGATTAACTTGTATGTTAGTCTGTGTCTGATCCAGTTACAGATGTATTATGTGAGTTGGACTATCATGAAAACAGCATTAAGGTGAAAAAGAGGAAGTGACACTTCAATTCTTTGCTTTCAACAAGACGTTTGGATCCATTCAAGATTTCTACCTGTTTACTAAAATGCGGCAGAAATTTATGTAAATTAGGTCTATTGATCATATATTCCAGAAATAAGTGTACAATTTGTGCCCTCCACACACACTAACACACAACTGAAAACGACTTCTTTGCACATTCAGAAAAGCTGCAGCTGAGATTCTAACCTGCAACCTTCTTGCTGCAAGGAAACATTGCTACCAGCTGTGCCACATTGAAGCCTCATTAACTACTAAAACTGTCAGAGATTAATAAATTATTTTACTTCCTCTCACTTGGTCTGAGGGATCAGACAAAGCGCAGCCCAAAGACCTCTTATGATGAGTAACATAAATGGACACAGTGTATGCCCGCACGCAGGTCACTGGGACCGCCCTCTGGAGCCAGGCCAGGAGTTGGGGCACGTTTGCAAGTTCCCGGTGCCCGTGCTTTTACCCATGGAGCTTGGCCAGGCACTGCCCGAAGTGGAGGCATGGGACTCCATTTCTATGAGCTCAACACTCGTGGGAGAGGCCAAAGGGGATGTCTGCATTGTGTGTGGGGTGATAACCAAAGGCAGGGACCTTGGCGTTCTGATCCTCGGCTACAGAAGCTAGCTCTCTGTTTGGGATGGGTACCTTTGATATTTGAATCGATCCAGTACTAATTCCCGGTACCTACGAATCGATACCGGTACTTAACGGGACCAATTTTCAATACTTTTGAGTGTTTATTATTTTAATTCTCTTTTATAATTAAATATATTTTTTCTCAATATATAACAATATTTGATTAATATCACAATAAATAACATTCAACTGTTTGTATTTTAACATCGTCCTTGTAGTTTTATAAGTTGATAATTAAACTGAAGCAAACATTTTTACTGTGAACTAAATTTACTGTGTATCTTCATTCCTTTTGCCATCTTTTTTCATTTGATTTTTCCTACTGGGAAGTTAGAATTTCCGAGGAGAAAGCGAACGCACCATTAGCTGATAACAACGGTGGCAATGGAAGCTAACATATCAAGCTAATGTTATCTTTAACAGTTTATTTAACTGCTGGAGCAGATTAAAACGATGATGCCGCACACTTAGATCGTTGTCGCTGGTTTCATCTTCACCCAATCACCCGTCGCATTTAGTAAAGTGAAGCCAAACTTTAGAGCGCGTTCATGTTTTTCTTGTCGGAAATTCGGAGTTCCGAGGAGAAAGCGAACGCACCATTAGCGAAACGGAAGCTAACATATCAAGGTAACGTTATCTTAAACATTTTATTTACCTACCGGAGCAGATTAAGATGAGGATGTCTCACTTAGATCGTTGTCGCTGGTTTCATCATCACCCAGTTACCCATCACATTTAGTGAAGTGGACCCAAGCGTTAGCGTTCGTTCTTTCTTCCCATGCTGCTCTATTTACAACTCGCTCGCAGCGACCGGTGACATAACGCTCTTGGGCATGCGCAGCTGTCTTAGCAAGTTCTCGTTATGAAGGACGGGTACCGAAACGAGGCACCGTTTGCAATGACGTGAATCGGTGCTCAGTCGGTACTATGGAATTCGGTCGGTACCTTAAAAAGTACCGAATTCGGTACCCATCCCTACTCTGTATGTGGAATGTTACCTCTCTGGTGGGAAACGAGGCGGAGTTGGTGCGTGAGGTTGAGAGGTTCTGGCTACATGTAGTTGGACTCTCCTCAACGCATGGCTCTGGCTCCAGAACCAGTTTCCTCAAGAGGCGTTGGACTTTCTACCACTCTGGAATGGCTTACACTGAGAGGCGCTGAGCAGGGGTGGGCATCAGTGATAATTTTGACAAGAATTTTTTTATATACTTTAAGTCTTAATCTTTTGACTTTTCACAATTTAATGGTCCTATTAGTTTTAGATTTAGTCCTATTTTAGTTGACCAAAATAAATGTATTCATCATCTGATGCAATCATTTTCAACTTGTGTAAAGGAAAAGTTAACTACAGCTAAGAAACTGTAAAGAAATATGTAAAATTCACTTTTCACTCTATGGATCAATACAACTCTATAATAGGGTTGTCACGGTGTGAAAATTTAACCTCACGGTTATTTTGACCAAAATTACCACGGTTTTCGGTATTATCGCGGTATTTTTTTCAAACGTGCTACATTTTCACACAATTAAATAAACCCTGTTTGTCAGGAAATATTGTCCTCAGTTTGTTTCTAAATTTTGCCTAAAATGTGTTATTTTGTAATTATGTTGTTTATTTGTTTACTTTTTTTCCTCTTTAGTCTTTAAAATACCAATATTTGCCCATAACTTCTTATTTTATGTCTGTTTGATGTCATCATTTTAAAAATATTAGATCAGATGATACTCAGTACTCAAGTAGCCTTCTAATCAGATACTTTTTTACCCTTACTTGAGTAATAAACCCTATATCAGGAAAGTAATGTCCTCGGTTTGTGTCCTTCCAGTGAGATTTGCAGATTTGGGAAAATGTCATCAGGCAGTAATCATTGTTAATTCATAATTATTCTCGGAGAGACCAACTATTATCTGCCCCTGGGAGCCCCATAATGCATAGCGTCATTTCAACATGGGGGTGTCCGCGACACGGTTTATATGCAGGTAGCGGCGCTGCGGCTGCTTTATATAGCGACTCGTTGCATTCTCCCTCAACCCAAATCCTCAGATCACGTATTTTAGCTAAAACGCTAAAGTTAGCTTGCCTTGCATTGACTGTAGAGTTGTGGGTGATGGTCATCAGATGTGTCATGAGATTTGAAGCGTTGCTGCCTTTCACAGACACTTTTTCTGCACGTGCTGCAAACAGGATAGCCGTCTTCTATCAACTGTCCCTCGACATTCTTCAAATATCCAAAAGATGCCCGTACTTCCCACTTTGTCTTCTTTGAGGGATAATAAATGTCCTGAGCGCTGCCGTCTCCTCCTTTGGCCATTATTTCAGCTTTAGGTTCAAGAAAGTTTTGGTTGTAAACAACAAAGTGCGCATGTGCCGCCGGCAACTTCAGCAGATGATACGGTGGCTGGTAAGGGTCACCGCGCCCACACCGCAGCCACGGTAATCCACCGAGATAATATAGTTTTTAAAAACAAGACGGTTATTGTTATTGTCAACTTTTTTACCGGGGTTTACCGCTACACCGGTTACCGTGACAACCCTACTCTATAATTGTTTTCATAACAATAATTATTGGAAAATACCAACAGGAACACTGAAAGTTTGAATTAATAAAACAACAAATCTGTATAATGTGCAGTTATATTTGTAAACATGACAGTAAATGACATCACACCATCAAAACATTAAAATGTGTTTAATAATGCAGAGATAAACTCAAGCTAAAATTTGTTTTCAGGTGTAATTATTAGCCTAGTGAACTAGACCAAATTCTTGCTTTGCAAAGAATGGTCTAGGCATGCTCCATTGGAACCTCAGCAGCTCCTACCAGGACTCTGGTTAGCCAATCACAGCTCTCTAGAGGGGTTTCAAACACATAAAGAGCTGTGATTGGTCCATAATGGTGGGCCAATCATAGTGCTCTATCTGCTTAGTGAACAAATCACAGAGCTTTATCCGCTTTGTGGGCCAATCAGGGCACTCTATATGCCTGGTGGGTGGGATGATGCAACAGAGTGAAACAAGAGTATGTCACATAGACCCTTTTACTACCTACGTCATCAAAAGTTGCACGCGCAGCCTGGCAACGAGAGTGAAGGCTTCCTCATTCACACTCGATACTAAAACAGCGTTTTAAACCCTTTGTTTTGAAGTTCTGAGCACATAAACATGTCGGGTTGTTGCGTGTGTGGATGCCAGAATTGCTTCTCTTCAAGCAGTGGACTGAAACTTTACAGAATTCCGAAGGGAGCACATCCATTTCAACAAAATCGGAGGCGTCTGTGGCTGCAGGCCATCAAAGGGGTTGATGAAAACTGGACTGAAAACACAAACCGAAATGCTCGAGTTTGTAGCGCCCATTTTTTATCAGGTAAGGTAATTATGTACTAAGATTACACCAGAAAGCTGGTTAACGTGTGTTCTATTAAATAAAGTAAGTTGCGTTTGCTGGTTTGCTTTTAAGCAGTCTATTTATTTACAGGCGAGGTGTCATTGGACTCCTCGAGTCCTGATTTTGTGCCTTCTGTGTTTACTCAGAGTCTATGTCGTGATATTTTACTTTCTGTACGTGGCCACACACAACATAGTTGTGTGCATCTAACGATTTGTATGCCCGTAACTTCTCACGTGTGTACTTACTGGGCCTCTCCACTAAAAACGTATATATATATCGGGCCACTGGATATCTGGCCACGCACCTACATCTTCCACCCATTCCGTAATGCCACAGGGATCCGGGAGTCTGTTGCCATTCGTTAAAGTGAGTTTAATAATATAACATTCAAGATTTGCCAGTGATAACCCCGCAGCGTAGCTTGATAAAGCCTGACACAACGCCATTCTCTGTTGCCAAGCTGCGCGCGCATTCTCGCTGACGTCATATTGTTTACAAACAGTAAAAGGGTCATTGTCCAGTAGCATGCAGAGATCATTTGAAAGACAACGGTAGAACCCGCCCCACAACCGAGAGCCGTCAATGGAGCATGGCCAGACTAAATAATACATTTATTTAGTCTGGCTTGCCAGGCTAGGTGAATCCATGTGATTCTAAGAGCCTGCAAAAAGGCCCATTTCATGATGTGAGCTTAATCAACGCTGGAGCAGCAGCTGCTAGTCCAAAGCTGGCACTGCTTGACAACATACATGCGTAGTCGCAGTTGGCCTAAACTGATATCAAATCATCCTTTGCTACATTTGGGGGTTCATTAGGCATAACGCATCCCAGCCCAATGTTTTATTTTTTTTCTTAGCAAGGCACAGCAAATGCTGTAGAATGACTGAAACCCATCATCTGGGAAAACGATATATTTATGCACCATTAGGGGTATGCATACCCCTGGTGGGGAATCACTGGTCTAGAGAACTGTTGATCCAGAAGAGAGTATGGCTGCTGGGACCAGACTGGTTTGGTTCTTTGTACTGGTTTGTCATTCAGTCTGATAAAGGAGATGGACTCCTGTGTTTGTGCCACTTTTGTATGTGTGTAAATGTATTTCCTGGTTTTCTCTATTCACTCCTTGTCTCCTGTTGTTTGTTTCATGTGTCTCCATCACACACACACACACACACACACACACACACACACACACACACACACACACACACACACACACACACACACACACACACACACACACACACATTCAGGATCAGCACAGTCCCACCCGGCCATTAATGTTAACTGACTGTTTGTGTTTTTTGTTAGTGTGGAGCGCTTCATGGAGCAGCCTGAGGTCCATACGTGAGTATTATCTTCCCCCCCCCCCCCCCCCCCCCCAACACACACACAAACATGGACACACACACACACGAACACACTCCCACATCATGTTGTAAAATAGACGGACATGATTTCCTCCTGTGTATCTCTTGAGGAAAGAATAAACACACACACTGAGCCAGCTGGTGTGAGTACAGAACATCCCAAACACACATGCATCTGAAACTTACAATCCTTGAAAAACCTAATCTGATCCAGTCTCGGTCCTCCTCCTAAATGATTGGATCATGGCCCATCTATCTGTCACCCAGCTGCACACACACGTTCTGTGCATGGAGCTGAGGTCTCAGCTGAGCAGCTGATGAACAGGAAGTGTTATTAATTCTATTATAGTGATTCTCAACCACATGTACTCCTAGTGGTCCGTGAGCGCATTAAAGGGGGTACACAGATAAATGAATACTTAATATCACAGAGATGACAGCACTCGCCCTGGTTACAAAAATCATTGGGCTGTAAATAAAGAAATACTCAAATATAACCTTGCACAATAAGGTATGGTTGATTTCATATTATCAATTATCAATTCAGGCCAACCACGTCTGCGTGCATTTTGTCAGGCTGTGTCAGCTTTGGAGGCCATTGCGGCGCAGAGCCTGTGGATTAGGGAGGCGTGGTAATGTCAGTTCCTGGTGCTGAACAGGGAAACATCCTCGGTAAATAATTCGGGCGACAGTCAAGTCGTAACAATAATTCCTTAAATGTCATTCGTTTTTTTTAACACATGATGAACACACACACACAGGCTTCTAAAATTTTGGACATCTCCCATGATGTAGTTTGACTTCGTAGCCGTGGCGCTAGAATTTCTGGTGCAGCGCTACGCCTTGGTCAACTGTGTGGCAGCGGGGAAAAACCTGTAGGACAGGGGTCGCTGAGGACCAGGGTTAAGAAACACTGAGAAAAAAACAGAACAGGGCTGCAGCTGCTACTGAGAGAGGGCCTGAAGCTTCACCAAATGCCGAATAGATGCAGTCTTAATATTTTAGTATTTTTGTTTTTGTAACAAATGAATTTTTGTGAACTAAAACGAAACTAAAATACACACACCAATAAAAACTAAATAGTGACGAATATTGATCTTTTCAGTGAAGAATAAAGTCTGATTTATACATCTCTGTTAGCTCCACAATGGAGAGACGCACACGGAATGTCGGAAAAGTTTTCACATGCGAACTCCTGCCCAGGCAGCGGAGCGTTGCAAATCAATTCCCTACCAGGACAACAGAGGGCGTAGCGCTGTTCTGTGGTATCCTGCCACCATAACGGTCATGTATCTGGTCCCCAATAGTGTATTTACTAATGTGTTTATATATTTCAGAGACTTTATAATACGGACAAATTTGCCTTTCATTTTCCTCCACCTCTTCATGCAGTTGCAACCTCTAAACCCACATTTCCCATCATTTCTGTCGATGTTTGCTCTGTATTTTGTACTCCTTCAGTCATGGGTGAATTTACGTTCATATTTTCAGGCTTCTTCCGCGATGCATTCTTCAACCTGTTCTGGGTCTGCCGCTAAATATCTTTTTACTTTTGATTGGGGCAACGGCCATGCTAATGACACATTTAGAGGAAGACCACAAACATCTGGCTAAACTTACCTGCTTCAGGGAGTGTTGGTGTGCATGTTTCATCTGAAGAGCCCGCTTCTACGGTGGCCCAGAAGGGTCGACAAAATATAAAAGCTGCAACACTATGCAACAAAAGGAGCTCCCGATAGTTCCAAACACCATCATTGAACGTCATTGCTCATTTTCCGTATTTCAGAGGGGTTTTTTCTCTGGTAAGTTGACAAAATCAAAACCTTTTGGCATTGTGAAGAGTTAGCTGACTGCCTCGAACCAAAATAAGTCAATAGTGGTTTTTCATGTAGCCAGTTTTAGTTAATCATGTTAACCGGCTAACTGCAGCTAGCTTATTATTAGCGGCCGGTCTTTGTGGGTTTACATGAGCCTATTTTTGCCTGATTCAGCTTTTTAACTTATTCAGTGCAGGCTGAATAAGTGGTAGAGGAAAATGTTTTTAACTTCCTGTGTCCATGCAGCTCTGTAACTCGTTCTAACTCCAGTTACTAAACCATCTCAACTAGAGAGAAGCTGTTTTATTCTGAGACAGCCGTGATTAACTTAGTTTGAGTTATAGATCATGTGACAGACAGCAGCATAAATTAGGACATCATCAGTAAAGTAAAATGTGATCATGAACGTGAGTAATTAGTTCATATTTTTCAGTTAAACCCCATGACGCTGACTTCAGTGACCTGCTGAAGCATGTTACACACTCAGGATCACCATGGTAACACGATGTGTCCTCCAGAATAACCAGAGCTGAATCAGGATGTCTGAACAACAGAACCTTTACAACGTTGGTATTTACTGCAGGACTGTTCATTTGCATCTGTTTAATATCACTAATTCATCATCTGAGGTCAAGTTGGGATTAGAATCTTTACTTGAAGACAGAACAAGAAATTAAGAATTATTAATGATAAAATATCAGCATAAGTAACTAAATGTAGATCAGTAGCTAAACAGTTACAGGTCACACCTGTCCATCCTCGTGTTTTCAGAGGGACTGATCATGAGTGGTGATGAGTGATGAGCAGGTTGGTGAGAGCTGCAGCTGCGATCAGTGATGGAGTAAAAGCTGGTAGTGGACTGGTGGGGTGATGGGGAGGGGGGCGGCTATCAAAATAAAATTCATATTTAAGTGACCAGGAGTTTATCACGTACCAAAGCTAATGCTAGCACTGTTAACAACTTTCTCTGAGGTTTCCTGCAAATGTCAAGATTCAGTATGAATAAAATAACTTTTATAGAATCACTGATATTAAAATTAAAGTAAGGGACCTAAAAACACTCCAAACACACCACTCACCTGTACTGGTGCTGGAGCATTGGTGGGGTGTGTTTGTTGTGGTGCCGTTTTTATTTGTTTTTCTCTTTTCTTTCCTACAGCATATACATCTCCTTACCTGTACTTCTTAATCTCAGCCTGATGAAGCTGCTGCTTATTTAACTTTACATATAACATGAAGACTGCAGCTTTCTAAAAGATTTGCTTCTCTCTAGAATATCCACCAAGTTTGGTGGTCCATGTGAGAAGCAGCAGACACCTGGTTTCTGCTGAAGGTGTTGCTGTCTTCTTTGGTGGGTTCTGACAACGCCGTTCCTCCCTACAAGCAGATCACACACAGGGGCGTGGGGGGCCCCATCTTGCACAAGAGGACACATTCTCATCCGTGAAGGGCTCTACAGAGACCTACATACCTACAGAGACAGCCAGCTCAAGTCATCCGACACAGCTTATGCATCAGTTCCAGGGCCGGACTATCACTTCAGGGGCCCCTGGGCAAAACGTGTTTGTCAATCAACCAGTCAATTAAAAACATAATAAAATACAAAAAACAATACATTAAAAATCAGACATAAGAAATGATTAAAAGCAGGACTACCAAGTCAACTAAGAGTTCTAAAAACTGTCAAGTATAAATAAGTCTTCAGTAGCTTTTAAAAAATGGCAACAGATGACGCCTGCCTAATTGAGATGGGCAAAAGCCTCTTCTCTGTATTCTTGCCCTAGGGACATTCAATCTATGTTGGTCAGCCGACCTCAATCCACGAAACGGAACATATGGCACGAGAAGTTCGGATAAATAGCTAAGAGCAAGGCCATTTAAACATTTGTAGGCCAGAACCAAAGTCTTAAAATTGCACACAGAACCTAACTGGGATCTAGTGCAGAGAAGCAGAAACTGGAGTAATACGATCAAATCTACATGTGCCAGTCAAAAGACAGGCTGCAGCATTTTGAACTAGCTGCAGCCTAGCAATACAGCCATGATTAACAGTAAAAACTGTTGCAGTGGTCTAAACGAGATGTTATAAATGCATGTATAAGCTTCTCAAAATCATTCTTAATCAGAAAGGACTTCACCTTATAAAGATTCCTTAGGTGAAAAAGCATACCCGAACCACATTATTGACTTGAACATCAAACTTAAGCTGAGAATCTATCCCAACACCCAAATTAGACATAACATCCTTTGCATCATACGAGAAGCCACTCATCAAAGGCTGAGTAAATACAGGAGCACCACTTGGTGCAAACATAATCAACTCAGTCTTAGAATTGTTAATCTTCAGAAAATTACAGCCATCATTAACCCCACGAAGACACATTAGAACAACTTCCTTAGCTTTAATAGGAGCGTAGACCTGACATTCATCAGTATAGAAATGAAAGTCAAGCTCACATTTCCTAAATATGACCCTAGATGGGAGCAAATATTGAAAAGCAGAGGACCAAGAGCCATGTGGGACCCCAAATCTCAGGGGAACATAACTCGAGTAGAAGTTACCAATCCTAACAGTTACCTACCTGTCAGACAGGTAGGAACTCATCCAGGAGAGCACTGAACCAGAGAGACCAACAAACTTCTCCAGACGATCAAGAAGTATGACATGATCTAGAGTGTCAAAGGCAGCGGTAAGATCTAAGAGTATTAGAAAGTCTGTCATCCGCATCAGTATAATTGTAAATATCGTTGAACACTCTCTCAGGAACAGTTTCACTTCTATACTTTGCTCTAAAACCCAATTGAAAAACTTCTAAAATGTATTGATCATCTAGGTCAGGGGTATTCAATTCTGGGCCTGGAGGTCCGGTATCCAGCACATTTTAGTTTTAACTCAGTTTCAACCCACCTGATTTTAATCAGCAGGTGATTAACAGGCTTTTGCAGAGCCTGATGAGCTGTTGCACAGGTGAATCAAGTGTGTTGAATCAGAGAAACCGCTAAAACGTGCTGGATACTGGACCTCCAGGCCCGGAATTGAATACCCCTAATCTAGATGGTCAGACAATGGCTTAAAAATGACTTTCTCAAGGACCTTAGAAAGAAATGGCAAATAATTGAATAATACCAAGATATCAGGACCAGGTTTCTTGAGAAGGGG